AATATACGGTTGTAAAGATAGAATATAGAGACTGAATATCTAGATAAATATTAAGAGTGAATACGCCAACACCATTTTAATTGGCTCTGAACCATGTTACCAAATGTCTCCTACTACTAATTGTAGTAGCAGCTACGACTGGATTCGTGACTCTAAGTTTGAAGTTTTGAAAAACGTTTGGCTACTCTCACTCAAACATTTTGATATTTTCAAATACTGGCTTTTATAGTATCATAGAATTTTCCCATGATTAAAAATTGCTCACCTGAAGTTTGTGTTAAAAGTGGATAATACCTGCCTTTGGATACCTTAAATTTCATTAATTAATTAAGTCGAGATAAATATGTATATTTCTGTAGACATCTTTCTAGTGTATTCACCACTAAGGTGTTTTATTATCGTATATGAGTGGGAAAGATTCCTTATCAGTTTATGTTTTCTGAGCCTACATCGTTTTGTATCCAGATGTATTAAAACAAATTATAGGTCGTACTAATTAGACCGATCAATCATATTAAAATAATACGTAAAAATAGTTTGGCGTAAAACAACTTTATCCCCCAAAATTTTGGCTTTGTTTTAGATTATTTATCTTTGTACTAATTACTCATTCTTAATCACTTCATATTTAATTAAAACTTAAAGTACATTATTCTTTGTTGCCTCTTTTAACAGATCGCTACTTTATCTGGGACTTCTGAATCCTCTAACCATGTAGATTCACAAACTACCGGATCTCAAGTGCCAAATTCCTGTAAGTTGTAGAGTTTGTCTTCTCAAGTTCACTCTTTTTTATTGGATCAACCTTAGCAACAACAGTAAATAAACTGGAGTTAGAAATGTGAACTATTGGATACTGATTGAGTAATCTGTGTCGAGCATTCTACATGTGTCCTAACGCTCTTGAGTTTGACCTGCGGAGTCGTGCATAATTCTGAGGAGTCCCATACTAGGACGAAGCAATCATCTAGTGCTTCCTAGTTTTCACTGGTTGTCCAACTAAGAACAATCAGTGAAATTGAATAACTTCCATAAGCCCCCTAAATAGTACATAATATTTGAGTACTCTCTGTATGTACTTTTGGATTTTGTTATGTTCTTTTACTGCCTACTATTCCCTGACCACAATATCTCTTTTGACCGTTTACAAATTACAATAGGAATTGAGAGTGAACGGTTTAAATTCCGAAAGAAATTGAACAACAAAGATATAACACTAAAACATTGACTTTTGTGTAAAACATCAACATCTAATATCTCGATTTGTCCACTAGGGTTGATTGATCGAAAATGAAACAATCAACGTATTCTGATATGAGGGTTATTAGAGCCTGTAATTATCAGGATTCCATTTCGCTAACAGAATGAATAAAATCTCATATATACCACTGATGGTATCCTAGTTTGTACATTGTAGTTTCTGTCTTTATCTTACTAGTGGTAGCTTAAGTTAATACTAAATTTTACATACACACTCAACAGTCAGATATACGTTTATGTTTAGACACCATCTTCGTTTGAATACATCTCAGTGTTTTGTCTTTACAGTTGTCGTATCAATAATCCACTGGTCATCTACACCCTTAATTGAATATAACGTTTGTTGATAAATATTGGTTACTCAAATTAAATTCACTTAAGTTTAGATTTTTTCAAAGTCATTTTTCAACCATTTTAAAATATCTTTTGCTTTACCGTGCTTCATTTTTTAGCTAAAAGTTCGTGTTCACAGTCAAATGAAATTAATCATACTAGTGATCAGTCTACTAATGGAAATTTTCCTATTGCAGAGTAAGTTTTGCGTGTCACTGTAAACCATCAAAATAGTATGTGTTTAAAATTTCTTACAATAGTTTAATTGTTTCAATAATTATTCACAAATTTACGGTTAGTTTTCGATATAATTTAGTCTACTTCTTCTTTGGAATGAAATATTAATGACTAGAGAACTTGATTTTTAACTTCTAGGTCTGAGTTGATCGGATTTACCAGCCCTCAAACAGTGTTCAACTTAAACCCAAGCACGGCGAGAACCATAATTTATCGACAACTTTTTAGCGATACCTAAGTAATTTCGAGAAAATTCAACTACTAATTAGTACGGCCAGAAGTATGTTATAAACCAGTGTGAGGAATTAGGATTTGGATTTAAAGTTAGGATTTTTATCACAAATTCATTCTATCTATAATATCAAAATGCTGTTTAGCCGTATAGATGGACGAATTTTGCACCAAAATCCAAAACTTGCTATCTTCAATCTAATTTATTTATTATTTATTTAAACACATAAATAGAGGTATAAGGGGGCACTAAATATATATGCGCCATATAAATCATTCCATCTATGTGAGGGCTGTGACACTGCTCGGGTGCCCAAACCGAAGCAGGTGGTGTTCTTAGGAGGCCACCCCCCGAGCCTTTGACTTAAAGGACTAATCCTCAAGGCAGTGGAGTAACGTCAGGAGATACAGTCCCATGGTAGTCAGTGACCAACTACAGGTTCATACGCCATTTATTTCCTTAGTATCCTGGAGCCCATGTACACCATTGTTTTGGAATCAGGGTTTTCGAACTCCTTTAGGTAGATCCTCTATATCCACCAACTCGGTTAAAGCATCGGACATTCGCTTGTTGTCCTCTTACTTTCGTAAACGACACCCTAGCCTCGAGAAGGCAGTGAATAGGACTTTCTTGTCAGTGGTTGCATACATGTGGCCACTGGAAAGCATCTCGAGAGGAAGAGCGGTCTCTCCTCACCCTTTACTGTACCAGGGCATTTTGGGGGTTATATCTAGTTTGTTCGTTCAGAGACTATAGTCCTGCTGGAGTTCGCTTTGCTCCAATAATACTAATGATATTCACTTAATCAATAACATCATGGCCACCAATAACGATCGGATATCCCAGTTCCTGTTAGTTCACGTAAACTCTTTCTTTTCCCAACTTGTGCAGCCAGAACACAGGAATAGAAGGTGACTTGCCTTCTTTTATTATAACTCGAAACTCACATAATAATACTCATCAATTATAAGACAATTCACTGTAATTAGAAAATCACAATCTATGCATAACTATGTCACTTGTGATATAGAGTAACTGAGAAATAGGTTCACAAAAGGGACATGTGTCAACAGTTGTCAACTTAATTGTAAGCTTACAATTAAGGCAACATAAAAATACTGTAAACTAAATATTTAACAAATAAACAACAAGAACATACATAATAATCTACTGTAGAATAGTTATATAATCTCCACCTTTTCCATTTATTCGCCAATATCTAACAAGTACGTAAACTTATATTTGGTAAATTTATTTCATATATGCATATACGCTAATCGATGACCCAAAAAAACCAATTCATTAAATTTACAGTTAACAATTAATATTAATTAGTTTACTATAAAACTGTTGATCGACTTACATAATGAAATGCAAGTCCTGTTATATAAGTAGAAATGTATTCGTCGTTTATAATCAAATATATTGTGTGGCAACTCAAACTGTTTGTTTATTTTAGCAGTTAAATTAATGAGTCGATCTAAGCTAGACCACCATCAAAAACCTGGAAGCACTAGACTACTGTTTCGTCTAAATTTTGATGTTTAGATAATGAGGAATGATACTCTAGGACCAGATGATTAAACCGTCTACGAAACCTTAATGTCAATACCGATTCTCCCGAATAATGAACTGAAATCCAAACAAAGAATTCAACTCAAGAGAACTGGTTTTCTCCCAGTAGGCATAACATGCTTGATATAGTGAGCCAATCAAAAGTAGCCAAATGAGGTCACTTGATAACAGTTAGAAACGACCCGAAGGATAAATCCATATCATTGGCTAGGAAATTGATTGATTTTTTAAGAGGTAGAAATATATGTGTATATATACTTACATGGTATTGTTTACTTTGATCTTCCTATTGATGTTTGGGACTGCAATCGGTCAGTGTCGTATTGGCATATGTGCATACTGTGCGTATTGCCTCGATATTGTCTTAATTCACATGCATTATAAACAAAGGTGGGTAGTGTGGTAGTATTTGAAGCGAACGATACTGGGTTCGAGTCCCGTAGAGGGCATCAACTCTGAAATGTGGGTACATCCGGCTGACGAGTCCCAAGTGGGACGAAACACAGGTCCTGGATTCCACTGCTAGCCATTATCCATCTTTGCTTATAATGCTTGTATATATATGCGCGTTATGCGGTAACCCAATAAGCTCCCTCTTCCGATATTACCTGTTTCGCTCATGTGGCCAGCTGAAGTGGGGTTAGCGCGTAGTAAGTTGTATATCGGTATCAGATCTCGGGCACGGCTCATCATAATAGTACTTATGTTTAAAATATGAGATATAAATTTAGCTATACAATACAAGTGATTCGAGGGTATAACTTTTGTAAAACATCTTTCCCATCTTATCAATGAATAATAAGTCTATATCAAACTAAGACTGAAGACATCATTCTTTGAAAATTAATTAATCTTTAATAAATAAGTTTCTCTTTGTTTAATAGTGTACATTCAGTGATTAGCATTACTTTGTGTGCCTACAATTTAATATAGTTGAAATAAATATCTATTTTTCTTTTTAAGCGCCAGTACATTCCCTGTATTCTGTCCTGGTCGCCCATCTGATCCACGAGTCCAACTTGGAGAATTATTTCGTCAGTTAGAGTTGGAAAATCATGCACTTTCCACTGTTGTTGATGTATGTCATATATATTGTTTCCGACGTTCTTTTTCGAATAAAAAACAGTGAAAACAATTTAAGTTTAGTATATATTTGTAAAGGAACTTTCTGACCATCTATACTGTATTGATTTATGATAGTAAAGTCAGTCAGCTATTATTAACATTACGACCTTGAACAAGTTTGTGTCAATTTACGTTGTCGTCATACCACATGTCACCGGGACAGTAAGAAAAAAATCAATAAAACAAGATAGATAGAATGGAAAATATTATCTAATAGAAGTGGATTCTAAACACTCAAGAAATACAATGCAAAAGAAATCAATGCGATTAAGGAATGAAAGTGACAAGTGACTTAAGGTTTTGAGAAAGCTAGATAATTAGTAACAACTGTACCACAGCGATCAATATTACACCATATCACCCAACGGCTTGAACCATTGATTACGAATATTGTCTTTTGATGGAGGGGGCACATCAAACCCGGAAGTCTACACCTATCGACGTGGTTGAAGTGAGCAACCAATTACTTCATGAACTGGCATTACTATATCTTAGTCTGTTCACCCTAGTCCCTTTTTCCAATTTACTCCAGTGTTACAGAATTTAAATTGGACTGTACTATGTTTTTACAAATCACTGTATGTTACGTACTATATTGTTGTATCTGCTACTGGACATACTACTTTACTCGACTGGAAAGGAAAGAGAACGAAAATGTATTTCAAAAATCGAAACAGAAAAATGTATGTATCAGGAACATTATTGCCTACATAAAATCTACACTGGAATATTCTAATGTCTTTACAATCCCTTAGCACTGATTGATAGAAAAACAGACCTGTTAGCATCCTCTGACATAATCTTCACTGGAGTATGCAATAATCAAAACTCTATACTGCTAACATATACAATAATTATGACCAGAATGGGAGTTTGTGGAGATTGTAATAATTTTAATAGTTGAATTCATGAGTAGATTTAAGCTAGACCGCTGTTGAAAACATGGTTTTCAAATATACAATAATTATTGATTTTTCTTCGTTACTTGTTATAAATTTCTATTCTACTGTCTAAAATTGTATTATCTAACTTTGGATACACAAAAGTAAAGCCTTTATATTTAATAAATTGTGACCCATTATACCTTATACCTTTTGAGTAATTAGGTTAAATCGAGCTTCGCGTGCCGTAGTCCGGTTACTCAATTTCTATCTCTTATCCTTACTTAATAATGAGATGTTTAAAAATTTTTTTGTATATGTTCTTTACTCGATTAGAGAACCTCCATTCGAAGTCCGGAAATTACAGATGTATTCAAAGTAAGTTGTTCTTAATAAATAGAACTTTTCTCTCCTGTTCGTATTAGATACACTTAAACAGTCTACAGTTAAGAGTACATTTCACTGACGATCTATAGCGACTATTAAATGATCTTGAAAAAGTAAATCCAATTGCGAGCGATCAGGATTTAAGCGACATACTAAGAAGCCAAAAAATGTTAGGGTTAGGATCAAAAGCTATGGTTAGAGTTGGAGAGATTGGTTTGTAGTTAAGTTAATAAACGATTATGCAGATGATTATTTGATTTCAAGGTGAGACTATAATTTATGGCCGAACTAGGCAAAGTCATTATATGTGGAAATTATATTATTTGGACATCTTCGCCGGCAATGACGTTAAACCCGTTCCCCCGTTTCGTCCCGCCCATGAATGCCTTATCGGGAACTATAACGAACATCCAACGCAGCCACTCTACAGCGTTAGGCACCATAGTGTGACTCTATAATCCAGCCCCAAATACAACACATACCACGCACTCTAACCCCTAACAATCCAACACCATACTCCTCCCCCACAACCAGGAAACCAATCTAACTATTCAAATATCCATACAAACTTAAATCATACCGTATAACCAAACTGTTCATAATCAACCGAACAACAGATATACAACAATGCATAACCAAAACTCTATACACACATCACCACACCTACTCAAATAACAAAAAATGACCACCCACCCAATATAGCACATAAAAATCCAACCCCGACCTCCAGCCCTCTCGCTACAACTACCAACCTCCTTCTCTCCTGCTGCCTACAAAAAACATAAACCCCCATAACAATCACAAGACCCCGCTGCTCTCATCCATCTCCCTATCTTCTCTCTCCGAAATATATATTAATTAGAACATGTGTGTAACATACAAAATGAAGCTTGGTAACTTTTATCGACAATATCATAGAACGGGCTTCTATTGCTGCATAAAGTATCCCAGATTAGGCAAACAGTCCACCATTCAGCCTCACCTGTTCTCTTCTCCCGCCCTCTCTCTCAACCACTTAACCACACCAAAACTTCCTCCCTCCTTCATCCACTCCCCCTCCCGCTCACCCCATCCACTCTCCCCTTCATTGTTTGTGGGTGCCCATATTTGAGTCTTTTTACCATTTTATTAATTCAAGAAGTTGGTCGATTTTAACTTAGTAAATTGGCGGCTTAAAGGATTTTGAAACCCATAAAATCCTCGACTTAAACACATAAATCAATGTGTATTATTTAAAAATGGAGATTACTTTTCTATAGTTATCTTTCTCACTACTTTGTTCTTATAATATCGAATTTTACTTGATTAACGCATGGTAACTTTGAGATATTTATTGTTGTTACATAACCGGAGAAGATCATTTTATATCAATTAAAATACAGATAAACTGATTACTACATTTATATACTTTCATTAATTAAGATAGTTTGAACATCTCTTATACTTACCCCGTCTATTTTCCCAACATGTTATGTTGAATAATGAGATTAAAACACTGATTGGTATTAAAACGTAGACCTGACATTTGTTTCACGGTTATTGTGATTCCTGATGAAAATGTACAAGGATAACACTGATTGCTATTTTATTACTTCCATGAGTTATTTTAACTTATCGTTTGAGCTTGTAATAATCGTTATATATGTGTAAACATATGAATAAACCATTATGACAAGATAATGAATAGGATATATATTATTCACGCTAAACATCAGGGATTGGTGAATAAATAACAGTTTACTGTTTCTTAAATGAATAATCATTTAATAGAAAGAATGAAATAATATTTATGCTTGGGTGATATTTGCAAACAGTAGTTCTTAACATAGTAGAGTCGTTTTGTTTCGTTTTGAAATGGTATCAACAATAAACCCAATTTCGTATTCTTGAGTATGGTATTTTATAGTTAAATAGGTAGTTGTTGTGTAATTTCGCAAATTTATCAAATTAACAATTGTTTTCAACTATACATTGTTCAATCTATGGAATTGATCTGTATATAAATATAATAAGAAAACTTATCTGTATATACAAGAATGTAAATCAGTAATTGTGGCTTGGAAAGTGTACAGCTAAGTTTGATTCACGTAATATCAATAGCAAATGTTTTGTAAGTGTGCAGTACGACCAAATCATTATCTTGATTTTCCCAATTTTATTTCTTGATGACAACACGAACGATTTTTATATTTTAAATATTAAAAAAAAAGAAGTTGACTAGTTCATTGATGTCTACTTTATGACATGCAGTTTTTCGTAAAGTAACTTCATCGACTTATTAATGACATGTGGTGTACTTCACAATTGCTTCTTAATCACTTCATCAATGGCCCTTTCACAATTTCTGATGGTGCTTCTTCACGCTTCAAGCGATTGAAACACTACCAGATACAACGTACTCAAGAACATGTTATCAGTGTCTATGACAATGTTCGAAACAATACAGCTAGTTCCTTATGTTCATAGTTTGCAGAAAAGGTGATCAGTCGAGAAATATTTGCATTGAATCAAGCTCAAGTGTCGATTGATTGGAAAATGTTTGTTTTTTAGAAATTAAGTTCACTACTCGACATTCTTTTTCAAAACTATAACTAGATATTTCATATTTATTTATTTATTTTAACACAGATACTGGTAAAAGGAGGTACCAAATACATATGCGCCACACAGATCTCATTTGATATGTGTGAGGGCTATGATACTGCCCGGGTGCCCAAACCGAAGCAGGTGGTTTTCTTAAGGAGCCACACCCGGAGCCTTCGACCTGAAGGTCTGATCCACAAGGCAGTGAAGCAACGTAAGGAGATGCAGTGACCAACGATTGGTTCATACGCCATTTGTTCCTTCAGGATACTGGAGCCCATGTGCACCATTGGTTTGGAATCAGGGTTTTCCAACTCCCCCATGTGGACTCTTCATATCCATCAACCCGGTTAAGGCACCGGACATTCGCTTTTTGTCCTCTTAACTTTGTAAACGACACCTCAGCCTCGAGAAGGCAATGAGTAGGACTTCCCTGGCAGAGGCTATATACGCGTGGCCACTGGAGAGCATTTCGAGAGGGAGAGCAAATTCTCCCAACTTTTGGCCGTACCAGGGCATTTGGGGGCAGATATTTCATAGTTCGGTATATTATATAATATACTCCGAATTCAATTATGGTTGGATTAATATCAATCATATTTGTTATTGAATAACCTTGATTTATTCATTTAATATATATTATAATATATTTTATTGTAAAAGTTAATTTTTGCTATCATCTCAAATATTTATCCTTTTCTTTACAAAAACAAAACAAACAGAATCTTCTTTTATCAAAAGCAACAAGTCAAGCAACATTGGATTGTTTAAAACGTTGTATGGAATTGATCAAACATCAAGAGATAACAAGTATAGTAGAAAATGGTAAAATGGTTAGTGATAGATCTGATTTGTTTTGTCCTTTTTTTCAATTAAGAAGAAATAATATAAATGATGTTCATAAGATAATGTTCATTTATATAAGATTAATAATAACCTTATAATATAGATATGTATGTGTTTTATCATTTCAGTCAACCTGTAATATTTTATCAGATTTAATTTAGTTACATATGAAATAGTTTAATACCTAACTTTGCTCATTATTCTTTTTACGATATGTAAGACGGATAGCTTAGTGTGTTAATGCAGTCATGATGAATTGTCATTACAGTTGATTATTGTTTGTTTAATGAGACATTACGATCAGTGGTTATTTAGTTGTTTAATAGCTTATGAACTTCAGAAGTTGACGATTGATCATAGGATATAACGTTGTATGAACTAAAACTTACTTATACAATTCTCAACGTGTACAAATTTATTTACCCAGCTTTAGATCACACTATATATGTGAGGGGTAGTCATACCAGCCGTCTGTTTAAACCGAGGTAAATGAAGATGAACTTGAACTATCGACTTAGTGGTTGAAAGTTGAACACTTTAACTAACAATTAATCGCTCCATCGTCTTGGACTGATACGGATACAATACTCCAAATACCTCTTTATTGATTTTCAGATAATGCGCTGTTTCTTCTAGTAACAATTAAGTAAAATCTGTAAAAATTATTTTTTTTAATGGTAATAAATTTTCATTACCATTAAAAAGTAGATCAATAAAGTGTTAAATTTGAAGCAAACTCTGCTGGTATTAATTAGTTACTGTTTAGATCTACTGGCTCAATGGATAGTTCATTGGCGTTCCAGTCCCAATGTGAACATCACCACTGGGATGCACCTATATCCAACCAACTAATCTCACATAAGATACGAGTCCTAGGTTTTATCACTTGATACATACCAAATTTACCAAAAAACTACTGAGTTTGAATCCCATTTGCGACATCCTCATGAAATTGACTACATTCGACCAACGAGTCTTTAACAAAATGAAATGATATTAAAACATTATATTCTTTATTCATTCATTGTTTCGCTCAGGCTAAATCGTATGCTTCAAATACTACAGACAGTACAAGTTTGTATCCTAGTGTATTTAGTACTGTGGTTGATTCATCTGAAACTTACAAAATCAATGATATGAATATCTCTAATGGCATTTCAAGGTATATTTTATTTTGATCTTATACTGTTTCATTATTATTATTATTATTATTATTATTATTATTATTATTATTATTATTCAAGGTGATCAAACCTGTGATTTTGAAGATTAAAGGACTGAATATCAGTTGTTTAGATTGTTTTTGTCTTTTCTTATGAACTTCGTTCATCCTGTCAAGTTTATTTATTTGATAGTATGTTTTGTTTAGTTTATAGTGTAGTGCTTTTTTTTTCTTAACATGACTACTGATTTACTTACTATATGTGTTTTTCAAAACACTTCTAAATGTAATTGGTCTTCTGAAATGTGGATTGTCAATGAAGAATAATATAACCTCACTAATATTCATAATAGGAATTATGTTGTTGTAAAAAAAGGCAACCTAATTGTGTTCCTATGAAGTAACAAGTCTAAAATTGCTGGCTTAGTAATCTCGATCTGTAAATTAAGACCTAATATTGGTTAAAGTATTTTAAAATAACGTATTTATCGTTAGCAGAACAGATATTTGATCAAAACATGTTTTAGAGATCACTTTGAAGCGCTCTAATAGGTTCACTCCCAAAAGTCAGTGCCCGTAGCTGAGCTGAGATGTCTTTAGAATATTCATGTGCAAAGTTTATGCATGCCCTGACATTTTGTTACTTAACTAACATGCTGTTTTGCCTAAAATATATTTATATTCTGTAAAAGTCGCGTTTAAATTTGGGAGCTAGTTGACTAAAGTGTTCAAGGCTACTGAACGGTAGCAGAATACTAGGCCTTATTAAAGATATTTAACGGTTATATTTACGTATTCTAAAGAAAGTTCAGTAAAACTTTATTGTAGATGAATGATCATCTTTAATATTGTTTTTATTGTCAAAATTGTCTTATTTCTTCCTAACAAATTTTATACCATAATGGAGGAGGAGTGTGTACCTATTGTTTATCTTTTTTTATCAAAGTCTATGGTGAGACTACAATTTATGAACGAACCAATCAAATGTATGATAGCGGGTCTTGGATTTTGGCACAAAATTCATTCATTCATACGTCTAAATAGCATTACAGTTAACGTCAGTTTGTGACGAAAACCCTAACTCTAATTCGTAACACTAATATCTAACTCTAAATCCAAATTCTGATTTCTCACACTAATCTATTATCCTCTTTAGACCTTAGTAGGTGTGTGAATTTCCTCAACGCCACGTTGGAGCGGCTCAAAGGTCGTCCATAAATTATAATAGTTCTTGCATCTACTAGCATAGTGAGGAAACCTGATCATCTTGTTTCCGTAGATTCGAACCTTATCACACATAATTCAGTTGGAACACCTGAGTAGTATCACTATGCTCCTTACATAGTATGTATCACCAACTCGGATGAATACTCTTATACTTGGAAAGTGACCTACAGCGTAATCGGTTTTTGTATCTGACTGACTTTGCTTTTACAGTCATCTTTATTTTCTAAATCTAAATTGAACTGTCATGATAATATACGGGCCCGACACCCGGCTGCTCTTCTTTTTTCATAATCCCATTTCATTATCAAATTGTTTTGTGTTGTGACTTTATGTCCGGATTTTTATCACGTGACTTATCCACCAATCAAAATACGACTTATACAATCTTAGCACTGTGCCAAACTAATGATATTCGACCAGTATGGACAACCTAGCGTCCTTATTGGTCCTATGTCCGCCTAGCCCGTCCACTTAAGTCCAGAACATCAATACCAGCTTCCACTATGCGAATCGAATCATTTATTTCAGACATACTGGGTTTATGTGTCAATCAAATAGATCGCAACTCACCATAAAATAGGAAACAACAGTTAGGTTACCACTGAAAACCAGGGATCACTAAAATGCTGTTTCGTCCTAGTATGAAACTCAGTTGTGTGTATACACGATCTCAACTATATTTCAATCTTGATACCTCTGAACTCTAATGCTTGGGAGTTTCGTACTAAGATGAAGTCTCTCAAGTGTCCCACGGTTTTTGATCATCCCTTAACAGAGGTCATTGTTTGACGAATACAACCTACAAATTAAATCGATCTTCACACAACCCCTTCAACCTAAACAGTTAATATCTAAATTTACTGTGATCGATAGTAAAAGTAATAATAGTGAGTTAACAATAAGTTGAATAAGAATTCCTTTATTCAATTTGTTATTTATTGAAACCAGTCATATAGGCATAAAAATGCGAAACATGTTTGTACATTTACGACGTGGGTGATGGCCAGGATAAAAAAAAATCATACAGACCTATATTGAAGACAAAGATTAGTTTTTTTATACGTTGGGGTTTCTGTAGCTCCCGCTATAACCAGGATTGGACACAACAAGGCAAGCAAGTAACTCCTAATCATAAAGTTCGGATTTATGAACCCTTCATACATTAATATAGGGTAAAATCGTGACTACACAGCAACACAGTTAAAATATTTCGTTATAGTTATAACTATGCAATAAGTGGAAAAAAACTAAATGACAGGTCCGTAATAAATTAACAATAACTTGTGTTAGTAAAACACATAATAATAGTTTAAGTATTTATGAATTATACAGTATAATATAAACAATAATTCTACTTATGACCGTTCCGGAAGTTCAACTCTCCTTAATATTTATTCCGACATAGGAGAAAGCTTCCATAGCTGCTTTTGGTTTATCGATTTGATGGTCAGTAATAAGTACTAGACATATAAGGACAAAATTTTGTATGTTCCCTTTTCTAATCTCTAACTCAAACATGAAATATAATATTCTCTTTTCGATAAATACTCTGGATCTCCCCAACAATCTTCCAATACCATTGGTTGGTAACGGCCTCACACCTGACTGGATTAAACTCCAATAGTCACTCCTTCTCACTATAACTCTGGGAATTAACTCTCTCATTAGTAACCACGTGATTATTATTATTATTATTATTATTATTATTATTATTATTATTATTATTATTCAAAATAATCTTCCAATAATTTTAATAACATAAATTATCTACGTTAATTATCATTTTATTCTGTATAACATTGCATGTAGTTTTTATCAGTTTTTATTCTATTCTATACTATTGTTCATAGTAGTGTTCAACTATCAGAAGAAATGAAGAATATTCTTTCTACATTTCCACTGCCTATAAAAGATATGCAAATTAATTGCAAAGATATGCCAAACGATGTAGATGAAATCGATGATAATCGTAATGATAACAATGAAGTTTTTGCTAATAACAATGATAATAATAGTTCACAAAAACAAATTATAAATTCATATAATGATGATGACGAAAATGATGAACATAATAAAAAAGTCATTTTACACTTACTTTCTCAATTAAAAATTGGTATGGAATTAACTAAGGTGAGAAATAGATATATTGTAATTTGATTAGTTATTATATTTCTTTATCTGTCTATATATTACTTGAGCATATTTGGTGATTGGTTAGCAAGAGAATCTAGGATTTGCATCTCGTCCTGTTAGGGACACATCAGGCATCCCAGTGTTGATACCTACACTGGCTGTCATTACAAGCTTAAAATATCAAATTTGAGAAATTAAAGACCTTTACTTATTATCTACTGACTGTGTTTTCTTCATTTAATCTCTATCGGTTTTTGAAATATTCCAACGTATACTATGATTTGTTCATTTGTTAGTTGTATAATTATTTCATATCGATATCAAAATAGATCAAAGTAGACACTTGAAATACCAAAAGTAATTTGCTTAGTGTTCCAGACTGTTCTTTATTAACTTGAAACTGTGTGTTGTTATTTTAAAAAATATCTATGATGGTAATTATTATGATGCTTTTAATTGACAGTTACTATTAGGTGCGCATATTTTTGAATCTTCCCATAATGGGTTTGCCAGTAATAATTCATTCAATAATCCATCACTTAACTCAGTAGAAATTGTATCTGACTGTTTACTTTATTGAATGTAGATGTCATGTTGTAACATCTTCTGGTTTAGATGTGTTTTTCTTTTTAAAAAAATCAATTATATTTTGACGTTTCATGTGCACTTGTGTTTGCGTGTACGTATATGAGTGTTTTCTGCCGCCAATTCAAACTACTTCAGAGAATTTTTACAGATGAAATGGTTGACACGTTTTTTCACTTGTCAAATACTGTGTTATGTTTGATGACTGACAACTCGAAATGGATTGATAAATATCAGTGGTGAGATTATAATCTATGGACGATCTTTGGGCAATCGTTAAGTGACCTTGTAAGTGTCCATCTACTTACTAAAGTTAAATGAGAATTAAAAATTGGAGTGAGGAACTAAGTTTTGAATTTACAGTTGGACGTTAGGTTTATAAATAAGGATTAAGATTTTCATCACGAATTGACATCAGGTATAATTCCAAGATGCTACTTAGTGATTTGGTTGAATGAATTTCACGTCAAAGATTTTCTATCTTAGATTTGATTAGTCCATCCATAAATTATAGTCTTGCCAAAATAATAATCAAAATAACTAATTAACAATAATGATGAGTTTTAATTGTATAGAGGCAGATCTCTAATATTGTTAGAAGTATAACACCGGTTGCCACTACTCAATTACCCACACCATGAAACAACACTTTTTCTCAAAAATATAGAAAAGAAACTGGGTTTAAGGATGATTTTGACAACTTAGCAGCGTTACAGCGGAGAAAAACCCAAGGAACAAGACCTTTCTGTGGGTATCTCTTGGCATTTTACTTCGATGCTTTTAGTTCTCTGCCACTAACGATAAGAATTCACGGTGAGGTGTGCTATTTTTGGTATCGAGATTTACTAACCCTCTCGTTTCATTGTAAAAGAGGGAATGATGGTTGTCTGACGGAAATATCATCTTACCGTCCCGCCCTGGTGCAGTCAACAGTACGATTTCACCCGCGAACCTCTAATTTTGTGCTTCTCCAACCAATCCGCCTAATACGATTGAACCTAAATAGAAAAGTACTCCAACTAATATATTTCACTTGGGTCATCACACTATGCAAGCACGACAACCATATCAAGGTATAACAGCTACACACGGGGGTAAAATAGTAGTATAACAGTAAAAGGAATAATAATAAAAGCCAAATAAAATTAATGTTTTTATGAAATGAAAAGTATGTTCTGCAACGTTATATCTCAGATTTGAATGAAGATAAAACATAAATGTATATGTATCATGAGGATCGATTATTTGAAGCATGTCATATAACTACCCTAGTCGTGAATTACAGTTATCTCATGAACATCTAACAGAAAGTGTAAAAGACTTAATGAATTGATCCACTAGTTTGCTTTGACTGTCGTTTAGCAATTTGTAAACCTCACAATACGCTGAACAGCATAACATCGTAGTTACATGGTGAACATAACTGGATAATGATGATTCACAACATCTTTATCCAATGTTTCACTTTTAAAAAAGTACTCTGAGACTAATATCGACATTGTAAGTATAAATGGCCTTAACTAAACAAAATTAGTATTTTTAAGGTAGTCTACTTTAATTTTGACGATATTGATGTGTTTTAATAGAAAACCAATAATTGTGAAAGTTTTTGAATAGAAAGTTGTTCAAGCGGTTGTTTATTTATAGTATAAATATATGAATGTTTAAGAATCCGATATTATTAGTAGTATGGTTTATGTAATACTTGTGCACAAATTTAATTAGCTGAGTAAGTAAAGCTCAGATAAGAAGCAAAAAAGTAGAAATTCTAATTCAGCTCGTGGAAAAAGTAAAAGTCATGTGATAAACTGATGAGTATAAAGTTACCATAGCAAAAATATTGATAACTCAGTCATATTTGTTTTATGGCAACAGTTTCAACTTTTTATCGTCTTCATGTACTCTTCATTACAAACTGGCTACAATAAAATCTATTTACTAAATTATTTTTTGTATATGTATTGTTCCTAGGACAATCAATCATTATTCAATGATCGTTTGATTCATCACTATGTATTGTATAAAATGTATATTTCTGTTATTATATACTTCCTTCTTTCTATGTAGGTAGTTTTCCCTACGTTTATTTTGGCGGAATATTCTTTGCTAGAAATGTTTGCTAATTATATGGCCCATCCGAATTTGTTTTGCAGGTATATATGTGCAGATCTCCTTTTCATTGAACATTATCGAAATAATTATATATGCCAGATTTTTAAATATGATTGATTTAATCAGTGAGGTCATTTCAGGCTATGTGTTCACTCTCTGTCGCTTATTTATTATAAAATCCCAACTAGAAGTATCTATTCGAATATATGAATATTTACTTCTATTTTAGATAACTCACAATCAGTCAGTCAGTCAGTAACAACGTAGAACTTCGTACGTACGTAAATCAGTTCGAGTTGCCACACCATCTTAACACAGAGATGCAGTTGTCGATTCAAATCCCGTAGTGGTAGAGGTGGCAAGAGTATATGCAGTAATCGGGAAGATTAGGGTTTGGAGATGTTATTTAAAGAGTATAATCCAGTGAAATAAATTTGGAAAGAGGAAAAAAGGGACATGAAGAATTCAGAAGATTAGAATTTGGGAGAACACAGAGAGTGGATGCACCTGCGCCATTGCAAACGATTTTGAGCCATGTCATTCAGGGTCTCTAACCATCGGTTGCTATCATCTCGCGGTCCCCAACCAGGTAGTCTACACCTACCAACATGACTTCATGGACTTGTGCCATGTTTTGGTTTGGCCTCCTCTAGCTTTCTTCCAACCTACTCCTATACCACTGAACATAGCACGTCGAGGCAGTCGGTCGTTGGGCATACGTAACACGTGTCCCAGCCATCTCAACTGATGAAGTTTCACCACTTCATCAATCGACTTGCCATCCTTACCTAGTACCCGTTTCCTAACAACTGCATTACTTACTCGATGGTCCCAGGATATACGAGCAATATTTCGAAGACATCTATGATCGAATACTAGTAACCTACGGATATCCTCTACTCTTACCGGCCATGTTTCACTGCCATAAAGTAGGACGGAACGAACTGCTGCGCAGTAAACACATCCTTTGGTTAATAGACGGATATCTCGCCTACACCATAACTGACGCAAGTTGGTAAGAGCTAGTCGAGCCTTCTGTATCCGTGCTGAGATTTCGTCACACACCAGACCACAAGGGCCGATGAGACTATCAAGATAAGTGAAGCGATCGACACGCTCAATTACTTCACTCCCTATCATTATTTCCGGTGTCAATGCAACCCAATCCTAAAGCAAAATTTTGCATTTCGAGGGGAAGAATCGCATCCCGAACATACTTGCATTGTTGCTTAAAGTGGTCAGAAGACTCTTCATTTTGTCAGCGTCTTCACCAAATAAAACTATGCCATCAACATATTCTAAGTCAACAAGTGAACCTCCCGGTAGAAGTTCAATCCCTGGAAATCTAGATGAAGAGAGTGTTATCTCTAAAAGTACGTCAATGACAAAATTGAAGAATGGGGAGAGTGGACAGCCCTGACGAACACCACTTGAGGTAATCAATTCTGATGACAGTTCGCCATAAGCTCTCACTCTACCAGTTGTGTTCGAGTGGAAAGCTTTTATAAGGTTAATGTACTTCTTTCGGTGATAAACACTGCCATAGAACCTTACGATCAACAGAGGCCAAGAAATACCATTGTGGGGCGTCTGAATGTGTGTCTGTGTTCTGGAACCTGACGAAGTGTAAATATCTGATCTATACAACCACGTCCAGGTCGAAAACCTGCTCTTCACGAGCTTTGGTTAGGCGTCGAAGTATTATTGAAGCTAACATTTCAGACACTATATTAGTCAAACTGATTCCTCTGTGATTGTCACAAGAGAGCTTTTGTCCTTTCTTATAGAGTGGCACAATCAGTGATTGAGAGCAGTCAGATGGGATTACGTCCAGTTCCCAAATCCTACCTAAGTCCTCGGTTAATCTCACTGCTAATACTGGACCACCATCCTTAAAAATCTCAGGAGTAAACCTTTCAGAGCCTGCTGCTCTCCCTCGTTTCAGATTTCCTATGACTTTTTCAACTTCGTAAAGAGACGGAGGACTTATATTAACTTGCCATTCAGGTTGACTAGAGATCGTGGGAAACCGAAGTGTTGCTGAAGGCCAGTTGAACTGATCCCTAAAGTGTTCTGCCCATCGATCCAATCTCCTGGATTGAGAATGAATAATATGTCCATCTTTCTCTGAGATTGTTTCGCTAACGGTCGGTTTCCTAACTCACAATACATACTGAGTTCAGCAAGGTAACCACTGTAAACCAGGTATCATTGAAAAGCTGTATTTACTTTTATGTTTAGGCTTCTACAACAGTGTACACCAAAGAAGACCACATCTGGGATTGAAACTAAAATCTTCAGATACCACTAGTTTCTCTTGTGCAACTGTTATTTACAGACGTTCTGGAGTTACTCTTCAAGTGACCTTAAGAAGTTCTTACCCATTTATTAGTCAGTCAAAATACAACTAGTATGAATAAATAATGGATTACATGTAATGGCAAAAATTAGAATGGGTCTAAAATTTTACACGATGAAAAAACTTGGAAAGGACTGAAGTGGAATTAGAGATTGAGTTGGAATGAATGCCTATACATTCAGTTCTTTGATTTTAAATCTCACGGATGTTCAATTTACTTTGGAAAGTTCATTAGCTAGGATAAACATATCATAAACATTTTGATTGGATTTGTTTTCTATTACAACTAACTATTGGTGGCTTCTTCACTCTTAACTGGTTAAAAGCTATCCATTCCCTTTATATTCAACTTCGAACAAAAATCTAAAAGCTACCATCTTCAATCCAATTATTTCCGTAGTATAGTATAGTTCTGTCAGCCATGTTTTCAACTGCAATCAATTCGTGATGCTGCGTGTTCACCATCCACTGCCATTGGGTATAATCCCTGTTTCAATCTTCTCGCAACAAGACGTAATCCCACTAGTCACAAGCATAAAATAGGTACGTACGTATTTCTATAAGTTAAAAATATAAGGAGATCGAAAACGCCCTGGATCATATTTTTCATACTGAAGTTCCTAGGATACTATTTCATGAAAGAAATTCATTTTTTCACAATGTTTATTCTAAGTTAAGAATAAATATCAAGCTCTAGTGTATATGGTTGTTTTTTTGAATCCGTTAGTATTGTGGTGTGGGTTACTTATATCCATATAGGTAGTATATAACGTTGGTCAGGCATAGGATGTATCTCATCAGAAGATCGATAAGGAAAGAACGGAACCGGAATGCAATTGGTATGAAAATCCATGAACAGTCAAATCTGAGACAACTAATATTTGCAAAGGAATAGTGAAGTTTGAGACGATGGATTGATATTTTGCAAATTAACGATTTACCATATGGTTCTCAGATTTTATCGAGGTGCTCTGTAATTTCGTGTCAAATACATTTGGATGTCCCCCACTCGTGTTCTTGTTCACTACATTTGGTGTCGCTGCCAACCAGGAGGGGGAAGGGTGCTGTTCTGTGCACGGCGTTGCGGGCCCTGAGTTGAGGTGCCGGTTGGGACAGTCTGGTGCGGAGAGGTGGCGTTGGCTGTGGCAGGTGCTGTCGACTGAGAGGAGCAGTCTGACGTGCGGTTGCTGGGCGGACATCGGATGTAGATGGCTCAGCAGGTCGGTGGGGCACAGGTGTTAAACGTCCTAGGTGCTGGGTGCATGTCGGATGCTGGTGCCCCGGCAGGTCGACGGAGCTATCAAGGTCAGCGCGCCGCAGACTCGATATTTTGACGGAGGGTGTAGCACAGACTGCGTAAAAGAAGAATGTAGCACGGCGGGCATGAACCAACGCTAGAATGAATGCTTTAAAGGGGGGACGAGTGTGGTGTGCTACTTATGTCGACATAAGTAGTATATGACGTTAGGACCAGAAAATCTGGCAGCAGAAAGACAAGAAAATCGAACATTAAAAAATAGAAACAGAATGCAATTTGTATGAAAATGCAAGAACAATGAAGTCTGAGTCATTTTGATACAACTGATGGTCATTTTACAAATTGAGCATTTACTATATGGTTGTTAGATTTTATTAACAAATTCTGTAATTTCCTGTCAAATACATTTGATTGTCTCCATTAGTGTTCTTGTTCACTAAGGTATCATATCTGTTATTCAAATTAGATTTATTTCGTACAACTATCCAGTTACAAGTAGTATTATTTCAGGGAATTACGATTTCCTCATTCCACTTCTCTGACATTTGCCTTAGTAATTACATATCACTGTACCAATATGTCGTGGGAATTTGAACTGATGACATATATGCCAGATTTTAGCTTGGGCATGACTGACTGACTGATTAGCTAATTTCTTCTCTCATCATCTGAGAAGAAAAACACCTCTCTTTACTTATCTCTGTCTCGCCTTTGTTGATTTTTGCATTTTATATTTTTTCATGTTCATTCATATATCTGTTAATTTCTTCTTAATTTCAATCAATAAGTTGGTCATTTTTACGTTGCATTGCTCTGCATATACATCTAAGTTTGCAATAATCTAGATTATTAATAGTGTCGTATTCTATATGAGCATGAATTCACGCTATACATTAATTAATTATTAGTCTTTTTTATTCTGTTGTTTCATTACATATTCATAATTTGACTCTTTCATACCCCTTTTTTATGTTTATAATGAAGTTGATATTTATGATTCAAAATATTTTTGATCTAATTTAACAGGAAAATAAATTAGTTGGATATCATATAGTTTAATTCAGCTCAGTATATTGTAGATTTCCTCTCTATTTCGACGTCCAGAAGATAAGATTCATGTTCCATGTAATATAACTTGTTCCTTTTACTACATTGAAATGTACCATCCTCATATGTAGTAGTGTCATAAAATATAACAAAATCCATTTTAAATAGGATATTTACTGTATATACTACATTAGGTGGTTTTAAAAATCGCACACTATAGAAAGATTATCCATCTAATATTCAATAGATGATTGTTTTCATGAATCACTTCAATTAAACTCTAAAAAAAGTAGATTTGTGAGGTTTTATTATTCTGTTAACTCTTTCAGATTACTAGTGTATAAATAAATATCATTTATAATGAATTTACTATTTCTCTATTATATATGTTTATTTTATTTTATAGCATTACTGATTATGTAGATCCTGAATGGCGTATGATAGCATTTATTCAATGGTATCTTACTACATTTCATTCTGGACATCTGGTTTGTTCATATTTTATTTGTATATATATATATATATATTCTTTGTTATTCAAACAAATATAATTTTATCAGAATGGGTTATGTGGAGATTTATAGAAATTTCACTGGTTGAAATCATGAGTCAATTGAAGCTAGACCACCATGGAAAACCTGGAAGCACTGGACGGCCGTTTCGTCCTAGTATGGGACTCCTCAGCAGTGCGCATCCACGATCCCGCACCCCGCGATATTCGAACCCATGACCTATCAGTCTCGCGCCAGGCGCTTAACCAACCAGACCACTGAGCCGGCCGGCATCCAACGGTGTTAATGTCTAACTTCAACTAATCCACGAAGTTGCGCCACCGTACACCAAGTTGAACTCCACTGGTAGCGAATTCTCACTAGAACTCGAGGAGTGTCTCCTGAAGTCAGTCACTAGTGAGCAGGTGATTATTATTATCAGAATGGTCTGTTGTGAGATAGGAACTCACTGAAGGCAATGGTGTACGGTCCTGAATTCCATTGCCACTATCCATCTTTGCTTAAAATGATATATTTTTCTCTTTAAAGGATACAATCGCTAAAAAGCCATATAATCCTATTATTGGTGAGACGTTTCATTGTAGTTGGATTGTACCACCAGATCAACTAAACAGTGAATCATGTTTATCAGAAATAAATAAAGATACGTGTAAAATGTCCACCACCACAAAAAACAACTACAATGTACCCATAGTTATAAGATATTGTGCTGAACAAGTTTCTCATCATCCATCTGTTACTGCCTTTCAATTTTCTTGTCCTATCAAACAAATGAAATTGACTGGTTCATTGTGTACTCAGTCTAAATTCCAAGGCATGAGTGTTTGTGCAGCAATGTTAGGCAAATGTAAGTGTACATTTTAACATTGATAATGTTTATTTTAAATATTATTTATTTATTCTTATCAAGTATATTTCTGAAGGATAAACAGTTCAAACACTTTAATTTCAACTTGATGTGGAGGGCCACTCAGAAGTAGTCTGATGAAAAGGTCAATCGATGGCAATCAGAAGTGACTGAAAGGACAGATGCATTTCATTAGCTAATAAATGGATCTATATATATATATATATATGAGTATTTGTACATTTTATTCAGCAGTCCAATACACTTTCTCACTCACTCTTGTGTTCTCGCTTAAGTAGTCAGTTGAGGGAATTAGCGCGTAGCACACCGTGTACCAATATCAGATTTTGGACACCACCCGTCACAACACAACCAAATAGTAATGATCATGAATTTGAAGTGCTTACACCTATCTTATCTAATAAATATCTCTCATTAGTATCATTAGTGGTGCATAAGCAATAAGAGTACTCCTGCTTGTTATGTTCTATATTAAGCATTTCTAAAATGAGGCGATAAAATATATTTTTGTAAGTTACCAATATATAAATCTTTTTGTACCATTCGTTTGTACCTTCATTTTGTCAAATGTTTGTGTGTTCAAAGCTGTTTTAGTGTTTTGAAAAACAAACACTACAAGTTAGATAATAATTCTAAACGTCATTAATCAAAATTGTTTTTCATTTATCATAATGCTGTATGATTTTACACTTATACTACAATCAGTCATAGGTAACGTAGGATTTACCACTGGTGTCCATCTGTTCAATTTTCCATACCTCATCGGCTCAGTGAAATGAAATTATCAAGACGAATTCCATATTAGTAGAAGTGGTTATAGTATCAGTGATAGTAGAAAAAGTGAAGCTTAGAAAATATGATTCGAGAAGGAAGAATAAATTCACAAAATAGCAAGCATAATGCAATTTCGAAATTCAAGATTTATAGGAAGACAGAAGAGTGAGTGCATCTACCCGATTGCGAGCAGTTTACGATACTGTTATGGACTCCAAAATTGATGGTTAGCACTTATCTGCATGCCTCTATCCAGGAAAAGGGAGTGTACTTATAAAAAATAAGTGAATAAGTATAATATAAATAAGGAGATAGAGTTCACTTATAAATACATTCAAGAAAGAGTTGTTTTTGTTTCATTTTGCTGAAAAATGTAATAGAAGATTACAATAAGATTGTCATTAACTGCTATTATGACCCATGTTTGATGCTGTCTCAAGCCATTAAGTTGTACTATTTTCAGGATCTTAACCAAAGGAGTCTTGATGAATCGACCTATATCAATTTTTGACAGCTTCTGTTGATACATTAACACGATCTCGTAAAATGGCCTCTACTCCACTTTTCGCAATCCCAGTCACAACATCATGGAATGATGCATGATTTAAAGATTGGTATAACAAAATAATTTTCTTTGAAGTTGTTTTTTGAAACTTTTATTATTAACTCATCTACTTAGTACACATTCGTGTACTTGGCTTTGGGTCTAACTGTAAATGTGTAGGATAGTGATACTACTCGATTAACCAAACACTAAATTACATGAAGTGGGGTCCAACTTAACGATTGCTTTAATGTGTATTCTAACACATAAGTGATATATTTACCCTCAACCTTCACTTCCTTATATATTGTTAGAAAATACAATAAATTCAAATGATTTCCATGTCTTTCTTTGTATGTTCTCCCAGATTAGTTTGAAAATCCCGTTATGTGCTAGTTTTGTTGTACAGTTCTTTTGCCTACGGAAATGTTCTCGCATTGTTTTAAAATACTTAACATTAACTGTTATCTAACACTTTCCTACTAAACCTGGTCCAACATTGTAGTTGACTGACTGGCTGAAGCCTGGTACTATACGTCAAAATCCTTGATGATATTTTTCCTAACCATGCATAGTAGATCGATTGTTTTTCTGCATCTACAAGTTACCTTTGTTTTTCATATTTATTTATGTTTATACATGTATATACTGTGCCTTATTTCACTGCACACAACGACGTTACACCCAATGTTTATCTTCTTGATGTAATTGATATTCTATAGTAATATTGAAACTTGGTGAGCATAATGACGAAGAGTATCACTTTTCCCTGCCTACGGTGTACGCTAGATCAATTTTAACAGTACCTTGGGTTGAATTCGGTGATAAAGTCTCTGTCACATGCCCTCAAACTGGCTATTCAGCTGTTATCACATTTTTAACTAAGGTAAGATGGCTATGCAAGCCAGATGGTGTTTTTTTTGTTTGTTTGTAAACAATCGATACACTTATTTTGTTTATGAAAATTTGTTTACAACTTGTGAAACGTAAATTTTGTTTACTTTGCAACGTTCGTATGTCTCACTATGGACAGTATAATAACAATGAAACCAATAATAATAATAATGATAAAACCGGCTCCAATCAGTACTGTTTGTTTGGTTACAGTAAGCCATTATCAGCACATATACGAAATTAAAACAAACTTTCCGTCTTATGAGCATTCAACCTGTAAATATCTGAAAAGTATATCTAGAAAGTTTTTAAACAAAGATTAGCTGTCATTCATATTCATCTGCAAGTGTCATTGATCAGTCTTTCTGCTTTTATGACATCTTTTTCCATCACTGAATATATTTGGTGTATGAATTCTGTAGAAATCGCCTCTCGTTTTGCCAAACGACAGAGCAGGGAAATACACGAACCATCGCGGAGGTGCTGCTTGAGTTTCTTAGTAATTAGATTTACAATAGGCTGTAAGCATCTTGTAAAAGTGCCAAAGTTTACATGGTTTATAGAAAAACTTATGGTGATAAATCGATGTTTGGAACTGGTGTTCCAGAAGTTTAAGCAAACCGCCATGTGTTTGTAGACTGAATTTCGACTCACTGGTTCAGTGTTTTCGTGTTCATCACAAGATATGAATGTTCTTGGTTTGATCTCATGGGCCTGGCTTTATGGATGAGCAAAACTGGAGTGTTGTGGAAATAAGTTTAAACAGTCATCCAGTTCTACATAGTTTACGATGGTTTTTCAGTCCAAAACCTGGAAGGACTGAACAATTAAATGAGATGAATCTAATATCTTTTACGCGGTAAATTGCACCAACTACGACAACCATTACAGTAGTTAAAGCATTTTCCCTAAGTATTTACACATTGATGAATATGAATTATCAATTAAACGATAAGACATGTCGTTGCGTTTACGAAACTTCAGAAGTAAAGTCTACTAGAACAACGTCGAGCATCATTAAAAGTGACTAAGTGTTTGAAAATACTTTTCAGAGAGAATAAATGAATTTAACAAATAAAAAATACCGAATAATACTGAAGAAAAATATAGAGAACACAGGGAAGATAATGTTCTTTGCAACGGTTTCATTAACTGAAACTGTACATTTGTATTTATAGTCAATTCGTTTGCTAAAAAAATAGTAGTTTATAGTAACAAACAATGGTGTTGAATAATTAGGGGAAAATTGGAACGGTATCGTGTCACGTAAATTGTCTACAAAAGTCAGGTATTGAAACGACGTTTTGTAGTAATCTAACAGTTAATAAAAAATGTCAATATGAAGATAATTGTTCACTTGATAAATATTGAAAACAGAACCACTAAAAGTCGTAATAATGATTAGTAATTAAAAGCTTTACTAGTTGAATTCATGAGTTGATTTAAGCTAGATGACCGTTGAAAACCTGGAGGCACTGGATGGTCGTTTCGTCCTAGTATGGGACTCCTCAGTAGCTCAAATCAATTAGTGAATTAAACTAACAAAATGACTAAAATCTCCAAAACCCCCATTCTGATGATAATTAATAGTTGTGCAGAATAATTGGAAAGGATTGAGAAAAAAGCCAATAGATAATGAAAGATAAAAAAAGATGGTATGATGAATTGAACACTCTATAGTTTATACATAAAGGTCAGGTTTGAATTGGTGATTAGCTATAATTATAATCAATTCAAACCATTATTAGAATTTTAAATTAATCTGTTCTCAATTTCTTTTATTAAGTGGATAATTATCTTAACCTTGGTATTCTTCATTATTCGCTTAGGCTGTTATATAGTTCTTTTTCAGGATCTGACACCATTTTATTAATAAAGACTACTATTTTTAGCAAATAAATACAATTGTACAGCTTGAGCTAATGAAATCTCCAAAAAGATAAACGTTTCGTCAATAAATTATCTCTGTTCTTCTTCAATGACAGAACAGATCTTTTATTGTTATTTGAAAATAATATTGAAGCTGAAGACTTAGCAGAAAATAAAGAATGAATGGATCTTCTCTATTGCTATAAATGATTTCGTACTATATTCACACATTCAAAGTATGATCAAAATACTACACTATTATCTGTTCTGTGGAATATAGTATGGTAATAAAATTATAGAATTTTCCAATTAAAATTAAGCCTATTAATGAAACCTTAGTTCTTAGTTAGCACTGATTCATTTTTGTATACTATTATTTTGATAAACAATAGCCACATTATGAAGATAAACTACATTGTATCACTGGAGAAATTTACAATACACACAGTATTTCTCCAACTTCATCTGATCGTTCAGCCAAAGGGCCTGGGTCATCACCATTAAGTTCAGTTAGAAATAGCAATCATTTAATTGCACGTATTTCTGGTGAATGGAATAATATTATCAATTTTGAAGTTTTTAATAAGGTAAAATTAAAGTTAGTGGTTTCTAACGCTTTTTTGCTTGATTGTTTATTTTCATTATTATCGCTTACTTTCTACACTCAACTAACCTAACTCTACGAAGAAAGCAAACAAAGAATATGTAAGAAATTGAAGCCGAATGAGCTGCTTACAGTTGACGTGATTTTTTTATAACTGGTCAAACCGACACTTACAAGAACATGTTTGCAATGATCTTGACTGGGTGAATAATTCACTAACTATGGTTCCTCCATATATGCATATCACCTACCATGTATAACTGCGTCTTTTTTGTCATCTATTCAGTTCCACTCTATCTGTTAATTCAGAGACGTACAAGGACCGTATATATTTATAAGATATGATATATTACTTTAGAGGGTTATATCATTTTCGTTTTCTAATCGAATCCGGTTTTAAGTGAAGCAAGTAATACTGTGGTGTGTGCTACTTATATTGATATAAGTAGTATATGACGCGAGTTAAAGAATGTAATGTCTGGCAGCAGAAGACGGGGGAAGATCAAGAAACGAAGAGCGGGAACGCAATGCAATTTGTAAGAAAACGCATGAACCACGAAATGTGAGACAACAGATTGATGATTGCAACAGCAACAGTCCGGTTTGATATGATGGAATGATATTTTGCAAACTAACGATTTACTATTTGGTTCTTCTATTTTACCAAGTAACTCTGTAAATTTGTGCTAAATACATTCGGTTGTCTCTACCCGTGTTCTGTTCACTATAATACTACTAATGATTAGTACAATAGGTTTACGATTCATCAGCGTGAAATACATTTTGTTACGTAATATATTGACAAATTATTTAATTGAACAATATAACCGTTCTAATGATTTCTATCATGAGAATATCCTGGTACGGCCGAGAGTGGGCAGAGTCACCCCCTCTCGAAATGCTCTCACATGGCCACGTGCGTACAACCACTGTCAGGGAAATCCTACTCACTGCCTTATCGTGGCGTTGGTGCTGTTCACGAAGTTGAGAGAACGAAAAGTGAATGTCCAGCGCTTTAACCGGGTTGGTGGAGTTCACCTAGGATAGTTGGAAAACCCTGATTTCAAATCATTGGTGTACATGGGCTTTAGGATCCTAAGGAAACAAATGGCGTACGAACCAATTGTCGGTCACTAGCTATCATGAGGCTACATCTCCTTACGTTGCTTCACAGTCTTGTGGGTCAGACCTTTACGTCAAAGGCTCATGGGGTGGCCCCCCAAGAGAATCACCTGCTTCGGTTTGGGCACACAGGCATTATGTCGACCCTCACATAAACAGAATGATTTATGTGACGCATATGTATTTGGTGCTTCCTTGTACCAATGTTTATATGTTTAAATAAAAAAGTTATTTCTAGCTACAAAATATGGAATATTCCACATCATTTATTCATGACAAACATCTTCATTCAACTAGAACATCCGTAGATTAATGTTTTAATCACACAAAAGATAATTTAAATAATTCTATTTGAAAATTGCTTATAAATTAGGTCATTTGCTAAGTTTATTCTAGTGTGTGTGTGTGTGTGTGTGTGTTTTGTTCTAATATATCCGTTTCCTTTTAAACAGTAGAACTGTTTAGTGTAACTATAATTTTTATTTTCACAATATTTTTCTTTTTTTTAAAAAAAACTGTTTAATTCTACTACTGAATTGTTTATCTTTTCTTTTTAGAATTTAAATAAATGGTCAGTGAATGTCAATCAATTGCCTGTTTTCTCAAAACATATACGTCCTATTGAATATCAACAACCAGAAGAATCTCGTCGTTTATGGCAAAATGTTACTAAAGCTTTACAATTAAAAAATTTTAATTTGGCTACAGAGAAAAAACAAGAAGTATGTTTAGTTATTGTTTAGTCTTTAGTTCTATGCTCAATTCATTGTCTAGTCTCTTTTTTTTTAATTACTTCAAACCAACTAATATGCATTAATGTTTCTACGTCATCTAATTTATACAGTCAATTAATTTCTGTAATAATATCAGCCTGAGACAAATAGTATCAATGTTAGTGGATAACAGTTGCATAATTTTGCAAATCATCTAAAGTTAATGTTGTAATTTGTTGGATACCAACTCAGTCATCTAAAGGATGAGCGCTTTATGCTAGACCTGAAGATCATGAGTTGTATTGTTCACGAGCTCATATTTTTGCACTTCCAAATTGTCCCATATGTGAACGAAACAGTTGTTTAGAGCTTCTTAAATTTCAAGAGTTGTCTAACGAAACTCAGTCTGTGATATAAAACTTCAAACAGTTATTAAGCTAGCGGAAACGCTACTATGTTTAATTTTAAAAGTTATTCAATACCCATGGTATATGTTAAATTTATCTTAAATAACTGAATTCGTTGTATTTCTATCCAACAGATTATCTATAAAGACTAGTGAAATCATATGATTGAATCTATAGTAAAAAGTTTAGTTTGCATCATTTCGTATAATTCTATTTTATTGTTTCTGTTGCTATAAATAAATTACCACCCTCGTATTTTTCAAATGATTTCTTCGTGTGATGTTACGAATCATAATTGATCATCATATTTGTTTATAACTAAATAAGGGATTGATTGTTTTCGTGCTTGATAATAAATCCCATTTGATCAACCAAATACTGAACAAATAGTTATTTTTACTTTATTAAGTCGTTGATGATGGTCAGCAAGGAAACCCTTAGACCTAAGTCTCGTACTAGTAGAAATAATGTAAGTTGAAAACTGGAGCGTTTAACAAAATAAGAAATGATATAATCGATGAATTAAAATTATTCACTCGTTTTTACTATAGTTTATTATACTCAGTCAGTCAGTCGTCTACAGTGTAGAATCAGGCACATATATGCATCGGTCCAAGTTGTCATACCTCATTAGCACAACAAGATGAACACCAAATTCATAGAAGTAGTTACTTCAATGGTAGTAAAAAAAGATTTTATTTAGGGATGTGCTACAGGGAGAGAAAAAGGTACAAAGTAATTTTTATCTCACCGTTTAGGGGAAGACGAAGAGTGTATACACCTACGCCATTGGGATCGATTCTGAGTCATGTCACCCAGAGTCTCCAACCATTGGTTACGAAAGTCACGCAGACCCCAACCAAGTAGTCTGCATCTACCAACATGGCTTAGACTAGAAGTCAGTGTCTTCAAGCACTGATGCCACGTTTTGGTTTGGCCGCCCCTAACTTTCTTCCAACCATCTCCAATACCGGATAGCATTGCACGTCGTGGTAGTCGGTGTTCAGGCATACGTAACACGTGGCCCAACCATCTCAGTCGATGAAGATTCATGACCTCATCAACTGATTTACCATCATTCCCTAATACCCTGCGTCTAACCTAACTATTACTTACCCGGTGATCCCAGCAGATGCCAGCAATATTTGTAAGGCATCTGTGGTCAAATACTAATAGCTTACGAGTGTCTTCTACTCTTAAAGGCCATGTTTCGCTGCCGTAAAGTAAAACAGAACGGACTGCCGCGCAGTATACTCGTCCTTTTATTGATAGAGGGATATCTCGCCTTCGCCATAGGTGACGTAAGTTGGCAAAAGCCAAATGAGCTTTTTGAATCCGTGCTGAGATTTCGTCAGACACTAACCCTTTAGGGCTGATCAGACTTCCAAGATAAGTGAAGGTGTCAAGGCGTTCAATGTAAACCAGTCCTGAAGAAGCAATTCACATTTAGAGGGGTAGAAGTGTATCCCATACATCCTGAAGTTGTTGCTCAGTGCTACCAAAAGACTGCATTTTATCATTGTCTTCACCAAACAGGACTATGTCATCTGCGTCAATTAGTAAACTTCCTGGTAGCAGATCGATTATCGAAAACTCAATGTTTTGACTATAATACCATTAGTAAGAATAATGATCAATAATATGCTACCGCTAGTCTATATATTTGTTTGATATATTGTTCAGTGACTAGATCACGTTATAACAGATGCACGATTGACGAACTAGAGTTTAGACCAGACAATACTTTATTCCACACAATTACAAGCAATTTCGGTCTTACTAACAATGATATAAATGTTGTTTGATTTATTATATCATCATACTTCATAGTCAATGAATTCACACAATCAGTCTATTTTGTTGCTTTTTTTCATTATTTTGGATACATCACTCTCTAGCTTGAAGAACGACAACGTTCAAGTGAGAACTATCGAGCATTGTATAAATTCGCTTTCCCAGTCAAATACTTCACATGGTATGAAAACTCTTGGATATTCAAAACCACTTGTAATCAATAATTTACATGGAAATAATACTAGAAAGTATTTTGCCAATATATATATAACTTTGTATTTCGTACCTTGATTGTTAATGATTTTTTGTTTCCCTCTTTTTCTATGTCCTGTTTCTTTTTTTGTGTATTTACTATTGATTTCTTTTTATCCATCCATTTAAAATATGTACACTTATTTTGATAATGAGCATCATAAGATAACTTACACCCTGTTGAATTATCCATTTAACCGTGTTCCAGTTTAGCAGCATTAATAGAGAGGATCCTTTAAATAATGCGAAATAACAATAGCAAAATTGGTCTGTAGTTCAACGGTTGTTAAATACTAAAATAGATATTAGAATCCGATATTATAAAGTGTAAATGGTGTCATCTGGAAGGAAATTACTCGAAATGATAATTTAAATTCGTGGTTTGCATACTACACATTTATTGATCAGGTCAATAACGATAAACTGTGTTGAGTAGTTCACTAGATTTTTTTGCGACGGTTAAATGGTAAAAGTTTCAGCCCCCAAATGCCCTGGTACGGTCGAGAGTGGAGAGAGTTAACTCTTCCTCTCGAAATGCTCTCACATAGCCACGTGCATACAACCACTGTCAGGGAAGTCCTACTCATTGCCTTCTCGCGGCTGGGGTGTTTTTTAAGAAATTAAGAGGATGAAGAGCGAATGTCCGGCGTTTTAACCAGATTGTTGGACATATTTGATGCCTTCTTGTACCTATGTTTATGTGTTTGAATAAACAAATAAAGAGTTCCAGAGGAGCTTTTAGGTGACAATCATTCCGTAAGTATTATGTAAACTAGTCATGTCTTTCAAATTTATCCCTTCGTAGGTTTAGTAATGGGGGGGTCAGTCACTAATCATATTTAATCAATCATGGTAAAACTCAAATCCCAATCACATATAGGTATTGATCTCTATTTCGTTATTCGATAATGTGTAGATTTCATCTTCTCGATTCTAGTACGATTTATTTCAGTTCAGCACCATAAACTCAACAATTGTTCGTATTAATAGTGATTAAATTAATCATTTTATTTAGTTAATAAATCCCATATACCAACTATCTAATATTCATAGTTTGTTAAAACAACATCCGTAATGTGTATGATTCGTTTTACTGCAATCTGGAAAGCAGTAATTATCACGAAATTGTATTCACGGTTAGCGTTTTTTTGATACTTTTTTCGATAGCCAAAGAAAGTCACATAATACATCCAAATTGGTGAAAATTAAATAATCTCTGTAAGACAGTTGATTAGTTTTCAAAATCTTGAATTAATTCCTAACTTACATCTTTTCATGATATACACGTTCTTTTAACTTATCATACACATTAACCGCAATTGTGTAGTTCCTGAACTATATCAGATATCCTGTTCTCAACAACCAAACTAATGTTTTCTTTGCGTCCATTTTTCGTCATCTCGAAATCTTACAACAATTAAGATACTGATGAAATAGACAAGTTGTTCAATGTTAATATTGAGTACAATGAGGTTCCATCCCACTAATTAGTAATGACACTTGACCAGTTCAATATTTTTGACTTAAATTTATATTTGTTTACCTCGTAATCTAAGTCGTCATAATAGAAAAAGTAGGGTTCACACATTATCTACGTAATTACATCACTATAATATAAATTTGGTGAAATAATATATCTAATTTATGGAGGAAAACTATAGACAAAATTAAAAACCAAGGATCTGGTTTTATTATGATAAAGAGAGATGAAGTTATATTTGACTGCTGCCTACTAGTTGGCGTCTATTACATGATACTTTGGTAGTTTTATCGGCACTTCGGTTCTGACTATACTGTTTGTGAAGTTTATTATTATTATTAGCTTTATTCAATATTATATTTTTGGTACATTATAAACTTCTCATCGCAAATTATTTCAAAAAGTTTCCGTTTCATATTTATTGGTCCATCCTGATAATAAATAATGAGTCTTCGCCAGTAAGAAGTTGGCAGTTCATGAATCGACATCTGAATAATGTACATTCTTCTCAATGTATTTTGCCAGCGACCACAATATCTCGGATTTAGCTCATTCCTAACTTGTACAGCGAAAGGTCGTGAACTCTTCACAAACGCACTTGAATAGGTTATGCAATTAATTGATATAATGATTTGTTGAAACAAACAAAAGAGAGATGACTGGTTGAAATATCTAGGTGGCAGGAACAGGTAGCCCGGATATTTAAGCATGCCGCCTATTTTATAGATGATGTGATTAAACAGTCAAATCACTGATAATTTATCTCGCATCAATCAAAACTACTTCCTAATCAGTAATATTTCAAATTAACTGCAATGAATAAATCCATATACTTATTTCTACTATCACTTTTCCAAATATAAACGAATATTCAGATTAGGTGGAATGTGGCTAGCAATGGAATTCGTGGCGCACGTCCTCTTCGAGAATCGCCAGTTGAGTACCTAAATCGTACCAGAACTGTTCACTCTCCAAAACTAAGTACCTCCTACTTCAAAAACAACGCGTTACTCATTTAGCTACCGAATTCCGGTAGATTCTCATTTATGTGACGTGTATAAATTTTTAATTAAATTTGGATTTTCCCACTGTTGATATTTTGAGTATAATTTGATCGATTCTACATAAACTAGTGTCAAAATGACTATATCGAGGCAATCCTCATATATTTAAACTCAATAGCTTGACTAAGGGTGATCTTTTTAAGAAAAAAGGTTTAGTTTCTGTTACGTCCTTTATCTGTCTACCCTCTTTTGTTCAGAGAATAACTTCTGTAGTCTCGAATAAGACCTTGACGCGTTAGGTTGACTGGCTTAACCTTGAGGCTTGTATGCATGAGTTCGAAGTGAGACCAACTGCTTGTGATAGAGACTATTCTACCGCCTGATTGGCTGACAAGCATGCAAGTGAGAGAAGACAAGTCAACTGGAACACTCCTCGATCTATTTCCAATTCCGATCTGGTTCCCGATTTCAGATTCGTGTGCAAAGATACATGAATAAATAAATGACTAACCTGACCACAACGCGCGCACCAATTAGAAAAATAGAATTATGTCCCGAACTGGTGATTAGCATAGAAAATAAAGTACAAAATATTACGTTTAAATTAGAAAAGACTATGGCAATGAATCACATATCAAACGAAAGCTTACGATCTGTAGAATAGACTAGGGACAAAAATAAATGTCAGTGTTTTGTGTTGGCACCATGCGTGGTCTTCCCATTCTGATCCAATATTTTCGTGAGAGAATTGTTACATCAGACGCAGTGTCTATTTGCAATCTAAGCGGGTGCCCATTAATATTAAGGGTGATAAATTTCCCCTCACATGGGATTGAGTTCTGACAGCTTGCTATTAGGAATTGAAGAGGAAGGTTGATTATGAATACAGTGGTCTTGGGTGCTGTTAGAAGGCGGTTATCACTTCCCGGTTGCCGAAACCGAGGAAGGGTTCTTCTGGAGGTACCTGAAAAGGAAACTGGATTAGAGGCGGTCTCAGTGACCTGAGAGCGTGACCGCAGTGCCCAAGGGGCAAATGCTTGAGGCCGGTCAAGCACGGTCTTTTTTGTGGAAGGTTTTTGACGTGTTAGCTCCGTTCTTCAAAGGGCCTTACCGCCGGAGACGGAAATCCGTGAGGTGTGCATTTTTAGGGTCGACCTTTTCTAACCCCACCCCTCCTTGTGGGAAGGCAGCATCGCTGTCATGCTGGTTGTCTGAAGGAAACACCTTACTACTGTCACACCTCTGTACAGTCAGCAGTACGACTTCGCCTTCTGACCTTAGGTTTGTTGCTTTTAGTCTTACCGCTCTTCAACCGACCTGTCTGACATGGTAGGACCTTGAGGAACGGTTGCTCCAGCCAGTATAGCTCGGTTGCTTCATCACGATAGGCAAGCCCGACCACCACGTCAAGGTAGCAACAACGGTCTTATATATTACCACGTTTGACCCAACCACTGCTATGAATCCGGTGTTCATCTTGTTGTGCTGATGTGGTATGGCAACCTGGACCGATGCACATATGTGCCTTGTCCTGCGTTGTAGCTGACTGACTGTAGCTTGCTATTAGACTCAACGAATTCGTGTTGGATCTAGGCGTAGGTTTTCTGGTACCTCTGGAGCTGTTCGGCTTCTTTTTTGGACAAAAACCATCCAGGCGGAGTTCAGTGTTTTACAAGCTTTGAATTAAATGAAATAACTTCCTGAAAAATAGCTTTCATATCTTGTCAAAGCTTCTTATTTCTCTGTTCACATCAGATTCCAATTATACTTATTACTAATAGAATAATAATAAATCAATATTATGCAATTCCAAAAAAGATACATTTATTGATTTATTTGAAATCGGTCAATAATCAATTAAATATATTCAATTAATCTATTCATTCAAATAATTAAATATTAAAAGATCTAATGAATACAATAGATAGTTTAATAGAAACATTTTATTGGAACTCAATCTGTAAAACAATATGGAAAGAGAATACAGATCAATTGGATGAAATTATTGATTGGATCCATTCAGAAGCGGTTGTATTGAATGCAATTATACATAGTAATAATAATAATCTTAAAATACCATCATATGAGAAAATGATGAAAGTAATTAATTTTCTTAAAGAAAATAATTTTTGGCGTTCTCATCCATATTCACTGATTATTAATAATCATAGAACTAATAATGATGATAAAACTGTTGTTAAGCCAAATCATCAATTATATATGAAAAATATTAAAGATTTATGGGAAAATAATAAAGAATTCAATAATGAATATGAAAAATAGTACAGTAATTAAATTGATATAATGAAAAAAACTATTGAGAATAGAAATATGACCAAATTAATGTAAGTGTGTATGTTACTTACTTACGGCTGCTACTCCTAATGGAGCATAGGCCACCGACTAGCATTCACCAACTCACTCTGTCCTGGGCCTTAAATGTGTATATTGATGATTAGATAATTAAATGTACTTTGTTTTTGTTTGGAATATTCCCATTTGATTTGTTATTTATGTAAATAATCATAATAGAACTTTTAAGTGTATTGAATCTTTCTTACATTGACTCAATTTCTTTTCTTTAGATATAAGCTTCGATTATATAAATTTTAATATAGTGAAAATTCCCATTTTGACATTTGGTGAATAATAAAGAAGGAATGAATCGAGCGAAGAGATTTCTTTTCAATTAGTTTATCATCAGAATGGGTTTTGTGGAGATTTTTAGAAATTTCACTTGTTGAAATCATGAGTCAATTGAAGCTAGACCACCATGGAAAACCTAGAATCACTGGACGTCCGTCTCGTCCTAGTATGGGACTCCTCAGCAGTGTGCATTCACGATCCCGCACCCCGCGGGATTTGAACTCAGGACCTATCAGTCTCTCGCCAGACGCTTAACCAACTAGACCACTGAGCCGGCATCCAACGGTGTTAATGTCTAACTTCAACCAATCCACGAAGTTGCGCCACCGTACACTATTGTCTTCAATGAGTTGATATCTCACAACAGACCTGGTTGATCGTGGATGCGCACTGCCGAGGAGTCCCATACTAGGACGAAATGGACGTCCAGTGCTTCTAGGTTTTCCATAGTGATCTAGCTTCAATTGACTCATGATTTCAACAAGTAAAATTAGTTTTTCGTCATGAAAAGAAATTTTTTATCGTTCGATTCATTCCTTTTTTTATCAATTGTATATAAAATTTTAATAGAGGAGTTTTATTCTGGATGATTTGATTGTGAGACGATAAAAACTCTATTGAAATTATCCATCTGAGTTATAAATCTTCTTCATCATCATCTTATATAGAATTCCATGAAATTAGGATAAAATCATGGATAGTGGGCAGTTTTTTTCCTTTTAAATTTTTTTCATGACTTCTACTCTATTTATTATAGTAGTAAGGTATGGTTTATTACAAGTAAGTAGTGTATAATGATAGTTAGGAATAGAATGTATGTCAGTAGACGATTAAGAAGGAAAGAATGGGAACGGAAAGCAATTGATATGAAAATGCAGGAACAATGAAATCTGAGACGATAGACTGATATTTGCAAAAGAAACAGTCAAGTTTGAGACAATGAATTGATATTTTGCAAATTAACTCTTTACTATATGGTTCTTAGATTTAAGTAAGATATTCTGTAGTGTTTTGTTGAATTAGATTCGATTGTCCCCACTGGTGTACTCGTTCATTACACTATTTCATGTCTATGTTTAAATAAATTTACGTCTTTTAACTGAAGTATATAACTTTTTTCATAAACCATCAAATGGATAAAATTATATAAAGAAGCTTAAACTGAGAGATTACAATTATATCTTTTTCGAATTTGTTATGTTTGAAGCGATTACGAGTTCACCTAGTCTGCAGATGGAACAAAGACTCCGTGACTAAAGACCAATAAGCTAGCTATTCTGATTCGTCCCAGCCCCGCTAACTAGAAAGAAAAGTCCACGTTCGAAACGGGGAAATATATTCCTCAAGCAACCTGAAGCACGAGGAAATATGATATGCACAAGTCAAACGTATATATACAGCATAAAATTGTCCTTGGGAAGCGTTACAAACTAGCATTTAAGTTCCTCCCAAGTTGGAAGTACAACAGGAAGGTGAAAATGAACGCTTTTGGCACGAAAACAAGAAAATTCACAATTTTAAAATAAAATTACAAAAGTAAGGTATTTACTAAGTGAGTTCTGGGGATCTAACATTTTCAACAAAATTAGTTGTCGTTATTGGGAATAAACTCTACATAAAAATATAAGTAATTCATTAAACAGGATTAACAAACATTTCGTGGATTAGTCGAAGTTAGAAATTAACACTGTTGGATGCCGGCTCAGTGGTCTAGTGGTTAAGTGCTGGCGTGCGAAGCCAGTAGGTCCTGTGTTCGAATCTCGCAGGGGGCGAGGTCGTGGATGCTCACTGCTGAAGGGTCCCACAATAGGACGTAACGGCCGTCCAGTGCTTCCAGGTTTTCCATGGTGGTCTAGCTTCAACTGACTCATGATCTTAACCATCGAAACATTTGTTGGTCTATTAAAAACATTAACTTCGAAAAATCAGTCTATAAATCATTTTTAATAGTGTTAACCGAATAGCAGTTTAAAAGTCGTCAAACTACTCAAATTTACAATGACTGTTATATATGTCGAAACCTCTATTCTGTAAAGTATTGTTTATTCTGATTCAGTTGGTTAAAAAAAATTATCTTAAGCATCTTTTGAAATAAGTTTTTAAAAGTCAATTTTTCCGCGAAAATAACGAAATCAAATTACTATTATTATTATTTGATTAAAACAAAGTCATAAAACAGTAGTTATTAAAGTGAAATATCCCGTAAATTATTGGAGTCTACGATTTTTTTTAAAAAATAGATTGTATCAACTAATTATATTTCATTGAATAGAATTAATTCACAATAAAATATCAGGTGATCATTGTCCTTATTTGATCTAATTTCCTGTACCTAGCTAACTACTTGATATAGTTACAACTATCATCGTTGATATTAATATATTCTTAAGTTTCATGAAATAGTTCATTCCTTGACATGGTCACGACCGATTGTTTGTTAATTAATTAATGTTTAAATAATATGTGATTTCTGACTTGTCAAACTGTTGGGAAACATTTGATTTTAGAACTTAATGTTATATTAAAATGTAATTATTGTATGTAGACCACATTTCAAGCTCAAGTTAGGCATAATGAATAATGGTTTATTGGTGAAACTATCAAGTTTCATTAGAATGAACTAAAACGAAAGTACTAATTGTTATATCCGAGCGAAGATTATATCACGAGTAACTTCTGAGACATATTAATTGACTAATATTATCTATACATTCTTATGGTATAATTATTCAATAATTAGATTATATATATTTATATCCCTCTTATTATAAGCTTTATTTTGACCTATAATTTATTATTGTACGATTTACTGTTCAGTTTGTTGACTACTGCCTCCCACGTTCACAGCCACTTTTTGGCTTTATTGTGTACAGTGTTATTTTCTATTTTATGCTGCGTTGCAATCTGTTTGTTTGATATATAAGCCCAGTGTGTGTGAAATAAATGATTCGATTCGCATAACGGAAGCTGATATTGGTGTTCTGAACTCAAGTGGGTGGGCTAGGCGGACATAGGACCAAATAAGACGCTAGGCTACCCATACCGGTCGAACGTCATTGGTTTTGGGACAGTGCTAAGATTGTATAAATCGTATTCTGATTGGTGGATAAATCACGTGATAATTGCCGGACATAAAGTCATAACACTAATGTTGATTCCAGCTAACAAATTTCCGATTAACAGACTTCGTTTCAGTCTCTCCATAACGGTTCTAGTTCCCAAAATGTCTATTGACTGCCTTGATTCTATCGGAAATAATTATCACTATATTATGTTAGGAATATTCCTGCTGATTCTCAAGTAATTATGTATCTTTTATTCTAACTGGGTATTTTATACCAGTACAGAACTGGAGTTGCGAAATTTTAGCGGATATAACATGAAAAGATAAGGAAACAGTAAATTTACTTCGGACTTCATGTTGTGACATTTTGTCCTGTTAAATGTCACATGATTTACTTGCTAGTCAGAATACGGCTTATACGGTGTTAGCTCTGTGCCAAACCAACGACGTATTGACCGGTATGAGCAGCCTAGCGTCCTTGTTGTTACCTTTTCCTACCTGGCCCTGTCTGTTGAGTCCGGGACACCATTATCAGCTCCCACTATGCGAACCATTTATTTCAAACATATCTAGTTTATATACAAGCCAACTAGACAACATCATACCATAAAATCGAAAATAACATTTGTACAGTATCAAGCTGAAAAGTGGCTGTGATTGTTGGAGACTAATCAATAAGCTGAGCATAACTTAAAAATAGTAAATCGTATAATAGTAGTCTATAGGTCAAAATAAAGCTTATTATAAAAGGAATATGAATATGCATAATCTAGTTACTGATTAAATTCACTTCGTATTGTTTATTTGAATCTTCTCATTATTTCATACACATAATTCCCTTTATTATTGTTGTAACGTGTGGTTGCACGGTTAGATGCTCAGTGTTTTATTGACCGATTCGGTGACACGGAAAACACGTACGAACGACCTAGGATCCTGATTGGTCCCGCTTCCCTGTCTAGCCCAGCCAGTTGAGTCCAGAACACAAGTCACAGCCTCTGAGATATGAATCATTATATTTCAGACATACTCTATTTATATACCAACCAAACAGACCACATCGTACCACAAAAATAGAAAACAACATCTGTACAATATTTAACGAGTGAAATAAATAATGGCCAATAGGGAATGTCCATTTAAAGTCCAAGGACATCATTAGACTTAACATGATAATGATTGGTATATTCCTCTGCATCCCTAACAATTATCTTAAAGAGAGCAAGAACAAAGATTGGTGCAGAATAATACGAATTCATTTTATTTCGTTAGGTTCACATCAGCTGCCTACAACCTACTTATACATAAGAGGGTGATCAAGGATGAATAAATGTATCATGGTGTAGCAAAGATTCCGATAGGGTTAATGAGATCATAAAATTTTGTCTCGAATAAAGTTTGAGAGGGAAAGTTTCGGAACATTGAAATAGTGATTAGAACTCATGAAAATAGATTATTGGTAATAAAGAAAATATGAATTGCAATCAGTCAGTTATGTATGATGTAATTTAAAAGAGTTGGAGTAATGACGTAATAAACAAATGAATAAAAAGGGGGTTATTGTTACCAGGGTAAAGAAAGATTTATCACTGTCTCTTTTTGTATACATAAATCTGGTTTTAGACGTTTGATTGCTATTGCTTCGGCAAATTTAAAGAGGTTGGAGTTTGATTGTTTATTAATAACCTTGAAGGACTTCAATATATCAACTTCATGTCCTGTGTCAAGGAGATGTCTTGCGATGGCACTACTGGATGCTTTCAATCCATTTGATGTTAAACTTTTCGGAATATGTTCTTTGAATCGGACGTAGGCTCTCCTTTCTGTTCTACCAATGCAACTACTTTGGCAGATACATGTGAATTTGTATACACAGTTGGTGGTAACATGAAAAGGATACCTGTCGACCTTTGATTGTGTCTAAGAACATGTTGTTTTGAACAGGACAATCAATTTTGCTGCAGGATAAGTTCTTGTCAGTGCAGTTTTTAGTCTCATATTGATTGATCCTGTGACAT